CCTACTCGGCAGGAAGCCTGCTTCTCCCTCTCCCACTCCCCCTGCTTGTTCCTTCTCTTGCTGTCTCTCTCTTTGTCAAATAAATAAAATCTTAAAAAAAAGAATATTATTGATACATTATATGTATCCACTTCATGAGGATTAATGAGGGATATTTTTCTTAAGATTCAGTAGTAGGAATAGTTTCCCTGTGAACAACTAGTCTGCTATGATCCTATGAGTGGTGATGATACCAAGTGACAAAAAGCTCAATTGTGGCTCAACCAGAGTGGTGATATTGAGCCCCAAGACTGCATTTTGCACAGGGGACTCATATATTTCCTATGCTCTGTTCCCTTTGAAATGATTTTCCCAAATATTCCTTTTAAATGTTTTACATTTTAGCAATCTGCCTAAAATTATTTTTGAGTGGGAGAATAATTGATGTTATTTTCAATAGTTACTAAAACCATTACATTTCACAGAGAAGGAAACTAAAGCCCAACATCTATAAATAACTTTCTAAAGTCCACATAATTAGTAAATGGCAGGAGCCAAGTTCAATCCAAGGTTTCCTCTGTGGATTTTTCCAAAATATCAGGCAATTTCTTCAAGCAGTTAACAAAAATTTCCATAATATGAGACAAGAAGTGTCATTTGTGATGTGGTTGCTATATCCTCTAAAAACTCAGAGGAGGTAAGATCACTTTCTGCAAGAGTGATCAGGGAAGGCTGGAGCTTGAAAAATGGAAAACTTAGAGAGAAGAGAGGGAATGACAATGAGCAAAAATGTGGAAATAAACAAAAAATATGAAAAGTACTGTAGTCTAGCTGCCTTACACTATTCCTTGTTGAGCACAAAACAGACTCCGAATAGAGAAAAAGAGGGAAGCAAAGCATAAAATATAGATTTGAGTGACAAAATGGAGACCGCTTATTCTATTAGAAATTTGGACTTAATTTGAAGTAGCAGGGTGTCATGGAAAATTTTTAGCAGGATTCTCAAAGTAAGTTTCCCTAGAACCAGAGGCTAAAAAATGTGATATATTCATAGGGTCTCTCAAGTGAACCTGTAAGAGAGTAAAGGAAGCAGAAGACAGGGGAAGAAACTAGGCAAACATATGGGTTCGGGTAAAGTCTACTCACAGCCTGATCTCATAAGGATCTCTGGAATGTAAATGACAAGTCAGAGTCTTATTTCAGTCAGTTACTAACTGAGGGCCAACCCAGGCATCTCTGGGCAGGATGGCTCCCAATGGATTGAGCAATCCTTAGGAAAACACTGAGCCCAGAAGCAGCCAACCCTCACAGCACTTGAAGGCTTGGTCACACTGCCCCAACGAACAGACACTGAGCAGGCACCAGTCATGTCTCCTATATGGCATTTTAAAGGATGAACTGGAATGGTAGCAGCCTGAAGAATTAGAGACAGATATGAAAGGTAATACTATCTGAACCTGAATAGTGGCTGTGAGGCAAAACGATAGCTTCCCCAGAATGTCCACATCCTAACCCCCAAACCTGTGAATATGTTACATTAAATGGCAAAAGGGACTTAGCATGATTAAAGTTAAAAATGTTAAGATTCGATTATCCGGATTAGCCAGGTGGCCCCAACCTAATCACATGATCCCACAAAAGCAGAAAGCTTTTCCTGGCTACAATTAGCCAGAGATGAGATGTTTCTGGTTTTCAAGATGGAGGAAAAGGGTCATGCACCAAGAAATAGAGCAGCCTCTAAGAGCTGGAAAAGGCAAAGACACAGATTTCCCCTAGAACTTCAGGAAGTTCACCACCCTATGATACCTTGATTTAAGCCCAGAGAGACTCATGTTGAACTTCTAAACTACAGAAACATAAGATAATAAATTTGCATTATTTAATTTGTTACAGCAGCAATAGAAAACCAATACAGTGGCTAAGGAAAGAGGAAGGACAAAACTAATGAAAAGAAATTGACAGAATTCCCACAACTAAAAATAAAAGCTTTAAAACTAACATTAGCCTCTGTTTTGTTTTATTGTTTCCATTTTAAGTAAGATTAATCATTCTTACTACCTTTATCAGAATTCACAATCTAACTTTGAAATCCGCAGGAAAAAAAAAATCATTTCAAAGAAATGACAATTAAATATAATTGGAATAGGATAGTAAATGATGGTACTTTATAAAGGTTAAGAAAAATAGATCTTTAGCAAACCCCCCAAATTTTTAATGGAAGATTAAAAGGAAGAACTTAATTGATTTTTATTATTACATTAAAGACATAGGTGTCAGGTCAACGCAAGTTGTAAATCATTCCTTTTGGGTTTTTTTAGTATCTGCCTGAGAGTCACATTTTCTTACTGAGAGAAATGCAGGACTGTGAGCTTAGTGGTCAGCAGAGAGCGCCATGGGGCCAACTCTCTCCCCAACCAAAGCTGCTTTCCAGGCAGGCAAAGAATAGTGGCTATGGCTCTGGCAGCCTGTGTTTGCCTTTTATTATCTGGGAACTCTCAAAAAATTAGGTATGAGAATGGGAACAATTTCTTTACACTTACATAAGTATTTTTAAATAAAAGTTTATTTATGACAATTATTGACATCTTCCCAGTAAAAATTAAGAATATTAAATGTACAATAAATTTCAGCAATTTCCATGAAGTCCTCAAAAATAGGAATATCAGGTAAGTAAATGAAAAATAGCAATTTAGTTAAATTGAAACTCCTTTCAGCTAGTACTTGGAAGAGAGAGGGTATTGGGGTACGATGTGTCCTGAGGATGATACTAATCAAGGATCATGGCATCCACTGAGGGTGAGGGTGAAATCTATTTTCAGTTGAAAAAACAATTAGTATATTCTTTAGCTCACAAAAAAGGTGTAGACACCAACCCCACTGCTAATTAGAACCCAGAAGAAAGGAAGGACAAGAGCCAAGCAAAATCACACAAGTTCATATATGGCTCAGGCAGCCAGGGCTTTGCAAAATATATTGGAAGAAGCAAATGAACCTAGAAATAGAGATGATGAGGTCTTTGTACTTAAAGTGAACACAGAATAAAAATGCAGGAGTAGGGATTATGAAATTTCTGCAAGTTGTAAGGAAGGTCATGGTATAAGAAGGAGGCCAGCTGGGGCAAAGACAATGATGGACACAAAGAGGAAGAAGACTAGAAAAGCAGGACAAAGTCAAGAGACCACATCTGCCGCTTTTCCTACTTGCTATTATTTGTAGTCAAGATCTAGTTTTGCACAGAGTTAGTATAGATATAAATTAATTTTTTAAATATTATGATGGTTTGTTAACTTACTTAATACTTATAAGTATGTTGATAAATTTTAATTATTATTTAGTCAAACAGAAATGTATTTTTATGGTACAAAATTCAAAAGGTATAATCCTATTTGGAATAGAAGAGTATTAACTTTTTTGTTTTTGTAAAAATAATACAATTATTACATTATAGTTTATTATTTTAAAATGTAATGATTCACAGAATCCCATTTTTTGTATGATACTTTCTATCATTCTCTTTCTATCTGTGTATCTAGCCACCAAGCCAGCTGCAATATGTCTTCTGTTTAGAGAGATTTGGGGTCAACAGTCACCAAATATTAATGGCTATTTCTAGGCGTTTTGCCCTTTTCAACCACATATCTGATGTCAGATTTTTTTTTTCAGCCGAAACAACATAACACAATGAGTGCAGAAATAGTTATGAAAATGCAGAAATTTCCAATTAAGCCAGGCATTAAAGAGACTTTTAAAAATGTAAATAATGTAATGTTCTCACAAATACCTTGTTTTGGCAAATAAAGTATTTTTCATAAAAAATGTTATCTTTGTTAATATAATGGCTTTATCACTGCTATTTTTAAAATGAACGACATGTACATTTTTTAGAAGTCTTAATTTCTTACACGGTAGATATCGATAGATATAATCTACACAAACCAAAGCCTCTTGAGGCCCTCTGTCATAAGAATGTAGAGGGGTCCTGAGACCAAACCAAACCAAACAAAAATGACAACTTCTATCCCAATGACTCCTAAATCTAAAACTAAATCAAGTCTCTCATGAGTAATAGTGCATATAAATATGCTTAATATACAACTAAAAATAAGCCAAAAGGAACTCTTACTGTTACTGCAATCTGCCTAATCTGCTTTTCTCCAGTTTTTCCTATTTTGATAAATGGCACTACAGTGTACTTAGTTGTTTATCTCCCAAACCTAGAAATCATCATTGACTGATTTCTTCCTCTTTTTTTAAAAGATTTTATTTATTTATTTGACACAGAGAAAGAGACCGTGAGAGAGGAAACACAAGCAGGGGGAGTGGGAGAGGGAGAAGCAGGCTTCCCGCAGAGCAGGGAGTCCGATGTGGGGCTGGATCCCAGGACCCTGGGATCATGACCTGAGCCAAAGGCAGACGCTTAATGACTGAGACACCCACACGCCCCCCCTTTTTTTAAAGATTTTATTTATTTATTTGTGACTGATTTCTTCTGTAACTCCCCACATCGGGTACACTTAACAGGTTCTACTGACACCACTGTTAAAATACATTCCTAATGATGTCACTTCTTACCACCTTCACAACTATCACTCCAGTAAAGGTACCATCATATTCTCTTCATATCTTGGAATTTAAAAATAAAACAATACAAAAACTTACTAAGTTTTCCAAAGGATAGCTATAGAAAAGTACAAGTGTCTTCCATATCCTCATCTTCATCATCATGTACAGAAAAAAATATTTTACGTAATATAATATGATTAGTTTTCTTTTTTTTAAGTATAGTGATTCAGTGAGATTCAGTTTTCTCTAACCAAATTCTAAAACTCCTGACTCTGAAGAGTAGGTAATATATATACTTCATGCAATAACTTTCATAAAAGAATCAAAGCATATAACTGGAAGTTTTGAAAAGTTAGCACCAAATAAATTATATTTGAAGACTTTATGTTTCAGATAGTCTTTCATTTAGACAGTGAATTAAAATAAAATGTAAATTCTATATTTTCTTTTCAACTTACCTTATCGAGTTCATCTGAAATTGCAATACCTGGGATTCAAAAGAGATGTATAAAAAAGTTTTAGAAGAAGTCTTTAACAACCCAATGTTAGAAACAAAAACAAAAGTTCTATTTGTAAAATTAGTACATTTTCCATTCTATTTTTGGCTTTTATTAGTGCTTCAAAATAATGTGGTATATCCTTTCTACTAACAAAACAAATTAGGAATTTAAGTCAACTATAACAGCATGAACTGCTGAAACAGTGCAAATGTGTGACAAAAACAAAACAAGTACCATACTGCTTGCAGATTGTTAAATACAGAGCAAACATGCAAAGACAAGTGTAGAGATGACAGTCAAGTATAGCTTAGCATGCTATAATTTTGTTCCTTCTGAAGAATTGATTTAGACTCCTAGAGTGATAGAATATTATAGCAGAACAGTGGTTGGAGAACATTTATTTTAATTCCCTTATTCTACAACTGAAAAAACAGAGACCAGAGTTAAAGGGATTTGCCCCATATTCTCTTAGGCTGACAGCTTCTTGAGCCAATGGATAAATGATTCCTCCTCACAAGTTCACCTTCAAACCATCCACGCATTTCTCATTGTATATCAAATTTCTGTCTTTCCTATTCCTCCAAAATTGGTCTAAGTCAGCAATGTAAAAAGTTTTAGTCCTTAATTTATTTATCTGTGATAACACGCTCTTTTAACCTCATTCTCCTCCTTGAAATGCTGCCCTCTCTCTTCATTCTCTTTGTCGTCTTCACAGGAATCCACTTTTTGGGGGGTAGGGAGTCCTTCCCTGAAATGCCTAGGGTTCTTTGCTGAGCTGTCTTTTCTTTTCACTAATATGCTTCCCGTGGTAATCTAACTCATACCAATGACATTTTTATTTCTCTATACGGTGATGACCCGCCGAATCTTTATCACCAGCATAGACTTTCTTCCTGAGCTGGTTGCTGAGTCCCTGTGGGCATTTCAATCTCGACATGCCAGGTTAAAGACATCATCGTCCCATCTCCTCACTTCTTCTTTTGAAAAATGGTGTGCCTATGGCTAAACACACTGTGGCCAGGCACAGGAGTAGGTGCAGGCAGCCCTCAGGTTTGAGGCAGAGGGTAAGGGGAAGCTGGTGTCAAACCCCAGTGTAGGATGGCCCAAGAGACAAGGAAAGTTCTAAGGTTTGAAGTCAAAGGAAACACAGAGAAAATAAAAAGAGCTTGAAGCCAATGTTCAGCAGGCTATTAATAAAGCCCAAGAAAGAATGAGCTGGGTTAGAAAAAAGAACCTGAAAAGAGTAGCAAGAAAATAAGTCTGAGTAAAAATCCCCTCACCTGATCAGGAACAGAATGTCTGTATAGAAGTTCTGTCCTTTGTCAATTGCTATATATTATTTTGCTCTCCACTGACCTAATAAATCAATTATACACAAAGTAGAAAAAGATGCCCTACTTCCTCTCAGTAAGCAGCATAACACTTCCCCTTGTAGATAAAACTAAAACACAGGTGTATTTGAGACACATTCTTCATTGCAATACTCTATGAAATTCTTTTTTGGTAAAAGTTATTGTAACTAAGAATTTTTATGTGTCACTATGCTAAAAAAGAGTCTAGCTACCACTATTGGGATTTTGGGGGACCTAACTTAACAATTATTCAAGGACTTGCGGTATTATAAAGACAGCTCAAGGAGAGACGACTTCATGAAGGAGCACTACAGCTGGGGTGTGCAGTGAACTCCAAGATACAGTGGTACTGCAGTAGGGGAGCATATGCTGATGGGTGAGGGACCCCAAAGCTCTGCACAATTATAAACATGTCTAAAGGCCTCACAGAAGTCACACACTTATGAATGTTTGGGTTTAAAAAATATATACAAATATGAATGTCACTTAGAATGACTATGATTTCAAGCTAATGTAGGAATTTCAGAGTATCAAGTGATTTACGTCACAGTCTATAGAAGATTTAAAATACATTATTCTGGCTTATAGAAGCCAAATATGCATTTTAAATGCTTGGTATTTACGTTTATTATAGTACTGAAGAAGTGTTCCTTTCCAGTGAGCTCAAGATTAAAATTGAACATATGGTTTAAAAATAAATATTTAAAAGACTTAATCTATTTTTAAAAAGAGAGAAAAAAGATATACAAACAAAACTCTCTTTCTCATCCAAAGTCATAAAACTTAGCTATTTAGAATTAAATAATCCATGATTCAATTGACTGGGATCTTTTAAACTCTCTTGATTTTTTTCAACTTTCTGCATTAATGCCCTTGGCCTTGCAATGAGTTTTCTCATTAGATTGTTAGAAATTGTTCAGTTGATCCTTAAATTTTTTACCCCCATATTTATGAAATCCATTATTCATAAAGATAATAATACTTCACCTATCTAGAATGTAGCCAAGATCTAGCAAGTAAGTCAAAAGGCCTTTGAATAATGAGAATACATGGCACAGAGTACTTGCCTATCACTTATGAGCTAACTCCTTTCAGCATCTGTTTACTGTCCATTACTCTTGATTTTAGCACACATCAGGAGGTTTTTTGCAAGACAAAGAAATATTTGCCAGTGGAAACTGGCGATAAAGAGAAGGTTGCCATGAAGAGATATTGAAGTACAATGAAGTGACAGGTCCCAGAATAAACCTCAAACTAGCTAAACAGGAAACGTTGTTTGGGAAAGGAATTATGCCTCTAATTATTCCAGGTGTTTGGTCTTACATATTTTGTTCAAATATCTATTATTATATTTTCCTAACATTTATATATTTTGATGACTTCTCCTAATAAATTATTTAAACAAATCCCCACTCTCTTATATATATAATTCTATCAGCTCCTCATTATTTATATCAAATTGTATAGGAAATTTTTCACTTTTTATTTCATTTTTAATCAAAGCTTAAACTGATTAAAAGCAGTTGAAAGAATGCTAAAGAAATGCTCCTTTACAGAAACATGAAGCCGTGATGAGAACAATTCATATTGAGGAGCCGAGATTTTTTCTGCTAGTGCCCAGCAGAGCATTCACAGCTATTCCCTTTGAGGAGATTAACAATTTTTGGCCATTTCATTAACTCATAACAAGCCTTCATATCTTAAGTTATATTTTTTAAGTTTATAGAAGCTGAGAAGATGTGGGGAACAGAAAATAAAATACCCTGGAAAATATGCAAGAGGAAATATAGTGGGGTACTCTAATATGTTGTAAGGAAAGAAGGCCCAGAGAGCAACTCTTGATGCATACTGGCACACACGGTCTTCCTAAAAGTCAACCTTAAAGGAAACATTGTCCTATCAGAGTAGCCAAAGAGGCTTGGTTTAGGGTAGCAATGGTGTCCAACTTACAGAAGTGGGCTGCCTATAAGAAACTGGGGAAAATGAGTGCCTTCAGAAACTAAGCTTTTCTTCTAGATAAAGAAGCAAGGGCTACCACAGGCATGTCAGAGGTGGCTTCCTGGTTCTGCTGTAGTGCAACCCTATCTGGATGGATTCCATTTGTGCCCTTCAGCTTATGGGCATTTCCATTTATTCTAATCTCCAAAGAGGTCTCAAAGTATCAGAAGTTTATGCCAAAACACGGTTCTCACATTCCTAAATTTGAGCTGTGCTCTATCAAGGAAACAACGGCTTTTCTGCTTCATCAAGATGTGCATCTTCCCAGGTATCAGCTTAGCCCTAGAGTTCAAATTCAGCTGTAGCTACAAAAAATGGAAGTAGAAACTTTTCAAAAGTCTTTACAGTTTAGTCAGTGTAATTAACTCACGAGAGTAGGTCAGAAAATTCATATGGTATGAAATGGAATGAGCTATTTTTCCAAAATTTGTTTCCCTGTGGAAAAAAATCCCAAACTGGCCCAAACTGGCTTATGAGAACCAATTCTGCACATTTCTTCCCAACTTCTCATTCAGTACTAATTGGTAGCCTGAAATTAGCCATGTTGGGAGTACTTATACCATGGAAAGTGGCAAATGCTACAAATTAGGGATTATTTTTTGAGTCACTGTCCCAGCACACTATGGAGTAATGCATAGTGTTAAAGCAAATACCTATGTAAGCATCACACATATCAACAAATTGAACACTGCCCATACCTCAGACCTATCCCTGACCATTTGCCAATTAAAACACTCTTTAGATAGGTTGCTGACTGCTTTTAGAGCAAAGGGAATTCCTGCTACAAAGTGAGGGATTCTACCTTCAATTTGATTACCAAAGAACAAAGTTGGAAAAATTTTCTGTAAGGAGTTAAATAGTAAATACTTCAGGATTTTCAAGTCACATATGGTCTATGTCATATCCATACATTTCTTCCTCTTTTTTTAAACAACCTTTAAAAATGTAAGAAACATGCTTATTAGCACATGGGCCACAAAGACAGACCACAGGCTAGATGTGGCTCCCTGGTCAGAGTTTGCTGAGTCTTTTTCTAGAAACACATACCAATTTTTACCCTTGATTAATTGACTCTTTCAGTCTTTGAAGGACACTTCCAAACCTTAACGGTTTTCATCAGACCCCTACCCATCTCTTCACTATAAAAGACTTGCTCACTATTAAAGGACTACCAGATTTAAACTCCCTGGATGTTCTGACCCATCTTACCCCCTTAGACAAGCCATTTACACTGTTCTCTCTAATCTCAGGGATGATATGTTCTTTCCCCTAGGAAGACCCATCTCCACACCTGTTTCTCGACTCCATCCCCATCTACCTTCTCTGGTATTTGCTCCATCTATTATCTTCCTTCTCTGTCCTGAATCTGCAAGTTCTTTATTTTGGTTTCCTCTGATCATCCTAAAACCCATTACACATTTACACAGAGACACACATATTCTCTGTAATCGCCTCTCCTGTCTCTGTTACACACACCCACACACGCACACGCACATGCATGTGTACATGCACAAAACTAAAGAAAAACCAAACCAAAATGACTCAAAATCCTAACATCCTTTACCTTCCTCCACTAATTATGTTCTCTTTCAGACCTTTCCTTTTCTCATCAAAACTTTTCAAAGGATCATACTCCT